AAACGTAACAAACTTCAAAAAATACTCAAATTTGTTCAATAAAAATAACATACAGTAGAACAAGCATATTTTTGAGGATAATACAGCGTAATCGGGCGTGAATAAAAGATATCTAAATTAGTTAGCAATCTTTTTTCAGATCACATTTTTACGCTGTAAATTTTTTAGGTTAATTTTACATTTGCAAGACGATATGGTTTTTACCTCTTCCAATCATATTTTCCAACATCGCTAACTGTAATTAGTTCTTGGGTTGGATTCTTTTTCGATGTACGATCAGTCTCTGCCAGGTACATTACTTTGCATTTCGTTCCTTTTCAGTTAATTTAGCAAAAATTTACTATATTTAAATTCTGACAACAATAAATAAATAAAAATAAGACAGACTTAATTTGAACAAATTTGAGTGTAAGTAAACCGTAATTACTTTTAATGTCATATATTTACTTCCGTTATTGTTCTTATGTTGAGTTTATTTTTATCATTTGAGCTAACACAGCTGAATGATGCAGGAAATTTTAAAAAGTAACAAATATATTGTTGTGATCTATAACACCTATAGATCATGACAGTAACAAACTTTTTCATCTAGACTGAATAATGAAAATAAGATTAAGTCATTTTAGGATAACTTTGGGTGTATCTTCATTATTAGCGCTAACTTTTCAATTTGGCAACGTACTCAGGCACTTACCACGAGTTAGCTACATCAAAGTTAGCTGCTCAACGATTACTATAATAAGTATTTATAGATAAATCAAAGAATCAATGATGAAACCAAAATGTTCATTTCATATATATTCATGCAGTCACTTGATAAATTGCACTATGAATTCAAAAATGAAATTGGAAATAATCACATTTGATGAAGACATTATTTGTTGTCACTTAATTTACTGCTTATTGAACTGATTGATTTGATCAATCAATACCAACTGAATCACAATGATGACTAATTATTTTGTAGTATTGTCTATATCTTAACTAGGTGAGCAACTTTTTGACTGAGAATAAACTATTTTCAGTGTTTAGATGTTTGGATGATAATTTCCGTCATTTTTATATTTTGCACATTGGTGGAATTAGCAATTGTCTGTCAATTCAACCGGTCAATTTTTCCCATTTTTTCAAATCCAATCGAGTGTTGAATAAATTCACAGATTTGTACATAAATTGTTTACTGATTCTTAGAGAGTATCGAAAGATTTAACTTCAAATTTTTTACAGATGGGAACGTGAAAGGCAAATCGGATCAAAAGTTCTTGGTCAGTGGCTTAACCAGATAAGGTTGTGTCTCACGTTGATTCCGAGTTCATGAATTATTATCATTTTTGGATTTTATTTCAAATACTTCTAATCCATAAAAAATCTGAGTTAATTAATTAATTAATTCCAGTTCTTATATGCAAAAACTTAATTAATTAGAATTCGAGCCAAAAATTTTTCGGAATTGTAGAAAGAATCGTAACAGAGATATGAAATTCGATAAAAACAATGTGGGAATTTCAAAGAAGCAAACGTTATCGTCAGTTATTAATTCAAATAAAACAAATAATTCAACGAAACCAGTTTCCAACGCAGATTTGGCAGGTTGTCGAGATAATCAGTCGTCTTTTGAACCCTCAAAAGATAACCACTTCCCGAGAAAAGTAATAAAATTATGAACATTTTTGAAGAGAATAAATGCGTTGTATTATATTATAAATTTGCGCTTTAATAATATAGATTATTTTATTTCACACCAGAATTACTCTGTTTTTCAGCAAAAATTAAACTTTGGCAAGTTGATAAGACATCTTCGTTATCGCTCCTGTACCATTACTTCCACGCAGGTTATATTTTATCATTAGTTATTATATTCTTGCATTGGTCGTGGAAGTCTTTTACTTGTCTTCCATTTAAAGTATTTCATTTTGAATTTTTATGTGATAACGTTATATAACATTTTATTGAGATGTGTTCTAATAATGTAATATAACATAATATGATGCTATATTATGTCACAATATATCGTGCCATTATTAAATAATCATTTTTTGTAGCAATGAAAATTATATTATATTATATTATATTATATTATATTATATTATATTATAT